TCCCAACTGGATGCGATGGCTGGGGGCCCTGTACTCCAAACCCACAGCGCAACTGCGCATCAATAGCCAATTGTCGGATCCTGTCCATATTTCAAACGGCACAAGGCAGGGATTCCCTCTTTCCCCTTTAGTATTTGTATTAGTCCTAGAGCCATTCTTACAGGGTATCAGGAATAACCCCATGATTCAGGGCATCCGAGTGGGGGAAACTGAACATAAGGTAGCGGCGTTTACAGATGATATGCTGTTCACACTCTACCTCACCTCATGATGGAAATGTCAACAAATGTCAATTTCTAACTTCCAGGCAAATCTTAGCAAATGCGAAATTCTCCCGATCACACTAACACTGGACACCAAGGAACAACTGCGAAAAACATATCCATTAAATAAATACGTAGGCGTGCACATCCCCAGCGACATGATGCTCATTTACAACAGGAACTTCCCCACCCTGCTCCAGTCCATAACCACCGACCTAAACTCTTGGAACCTGCCTCACTTCAGATGATTCTGTAGATTGAATATCCTGAAGATGAATGTCCTTCCCTGCATTCTTTATCTCCTACAAGTACTGCCAATTTCCATACCCAAACCCCTATTCAACTCGGTCCACAAAGAATTTACAACCTCCATATGGACCCCAAAACAACCCAGGCTATCTTAGGCTTTACTAAAACGGCCAAAAGAAAAAGGGGGACTATGTCTCCCAGACGTAGAACTGTACCATAAAGCAGTCCTCCTATCAAGGGTATTCAACTGGTCAAAACTACATTCCAATACACAGTGGGTACATTTAGAAGACGCATGCTTCAGAGCGCCTATATATACCATCCCGTGGCACAAAACGGGACAAGCACTACTACACCACCAAGCACACCCCACCATAATACCCACACTTCGAATGTTGGCACATATGAGGAATCACCAACAGATATCTCCATACCCCTCTCCTATCTACCCACTTACCCAAAATACACTATTATCACCAGGAGTAGACGGCAAATCGTACAAAATACATCATGACTCCCCCTACCTGACACTAGGAACCTTGATGGAAGGGTCTGGAGTATAACCACTTAAAAATTTAATCTCGGTAAATACTACCTCAGCACTACAAAAATTCCAATATAACCAACTCCTACACTTTATTATAACAGGACTGCTGGCACAGGGCACGCACCGTAACCACTCAATCTTTGAGCAACACTGTGAAAAACAAGCCATACAAAATAAACTTTTCTTTGATGTACGCACTTCTCCTTTCCACACAACCAAAACATCTACCAGCATTCACCAAGACTTGGGAAACAGAACTTGGCATAGCCATACCACCTGACAGATGGCGCACAGTATTAAAAAATATACATAAATCGCCCCGAAACACGGAGGCCCAAGAGAGCAATTACAAACGTATCGTTAGGTGGCACTATACACCTGCAAGACTCCAATCACTGTTCCCTTAAATGTCCAACCATTGTTGGAGATGCCACCAACCCAATGGTACGACATCTCATATCTGGTGGACTTGTCAGGAAATACAAAAGTATTGGAGGCGCATCTCTAGCGTAATCCAAACCATTATAGGGGAAACCATTGCCCTCACTCCCGACACCATCATTTTCCTTCTACCAGCCTGCAATGTGCCCAAGACTAAGATACCTCTACTCCTACACCTCATAACAACTGCCAGTCAGTTGATCCCACTGTTCTGGAAACAACCTAACCCCCCATCCCTACGCGACTGGATACAGAAGGTAGAAACCACTAGGGGTTTGGAGGAACTATGCTTCTCCCTAACCAATAGTTATCATACCTACACTTTCACATGGAATAGATGGTGCAGTTATTTACAAAATAATGAACTATGAGCTTATATCTTTGTCCAGACATACACTAGTACCCACTTGATCCCACGCCTGTCATGTCATGACTTTTAGAACCATGCTGCTTGAATCAACACTGTTACGGCGGTTAAGCCTATTAATAATGTTATGTTAAATGGATCCACTATGTCACTGCCGAATTCTAATTGCACTGTTCACAGAAATGTATTTACTTGTACTGTTTCATTTGTACAATAAAGATATTTAAAAAATAAATTAATTTAAAAAAACTACACACTACTATACAACAAATGAGATCCAAATAAATCCCACAAAAAGCCTCTCAAAAAACATGTAACACCAAAACTGAATCTATAAAATAATGCAACAACACAAGATGGCACCACAAACAAGCCAAACTCCACAATGAGCCGAACATACACAAAAAATGGAGAATGGAAACCAAAATAAACAATTTGCAAACCGACTAACTACTTGTTCATGGAGTACCTCCCAGGGGCCTCGGGCGGATAACTTCGGGTGGATAGAACTATAAGTCCATGGCAGGAGAATTCTGGTGATCACCAAGGACATGCTCCCACACTACGAATTGCAAACCCACCTATATATTACTCTGTAAGTATAAATGCAAACCAACATCAATGAATAGTAGTTTACCCGTTTGCCGGTTGTTTATTTTGTTTTCCATGGATTATATAAAGTTTGGTTGATTCAATCAAGATGCATATTTGAAACGCAAGCATATAGAAATTTCCGGGCGTCGCAGGGAATTTGGGAGCACGGGCACCAACGGTGCCTTATGCGGAACGCAGACTCCACTTCTGGGTATCATGGTGCACTCGGAAGTAGGCGCAAATAATCGAGAAACAGAACAGGATTGAATACAGCTAAAGGAGATTTTTACCCAGGTGATCGAACTGAGGAGAAATGTTCTACTGTCCATCCCGCTGGAGTTCCTTTCATTCTTATTATTATCCACTGCCAATCTAAGGGAATGCTGGGAGGATCATTTTGCACCCCATCTATTACCGGGAGGCACCATTGATGCTGTTTGAAAATCTCAGTCTTGTGAGTTTCCACTTTATTAAGTGAATACTATTTCAAGTAATTGTATTACACTATTGTGTTATGTTATTTTTTATTCTGCCATAGGTTGAGCTGGTTCCCCTTGTATTTGGTAGTGTGTATACCTTGTATAAGACACCCTTTGTATCACCACTGCTCAAGCTACCCTATTATCCCTCCGTTAGGGTCAAAATTCAACAACAGGATATGTCACCAAGCACCATTGTGGTGCTGCTGATTCCATTTGCAGTAAACCAGCCCTCCTACATAAGTTACATTTTGGAATCTTGGAGGGACTAAAGTACAAGCTAGTGTAAATAAATTGACTCAATTTGCAATAGACTTTCCCAATGTTTGCTGATTGTCTAAATTATTTGGTTTGCTTTATACTTACTGTATTTTAGACACCCTGAACACAATTTGTCCTTGCATATGCAAATATTGGCCGGGAGGAAGAAAGCTGAGCCCTTCCCATCTAAAACCAGCCAAGGTCCGTGTGAGGCTGGCCTCATCCACAAACTCGTCCTTCTCAACATTCCAGGACCCAACGATTGGGTGGTCTCAGAAGATGATGTCATCATGCCAGAGACTGCCAGGGAATGGGGCAATGCACCCACCTGTCACAGTGAGAAGGCTATTCAATTTGGTGAGTTCGGCGGTGAGTTTGGCGGTCGTTGGAGACTGCATAACTCATCTAGTTAGACACCTGAGTGATGACAGTACCAGTCTGGGACTAATTTGAGCTGGTGCTCCATCTTCTCCTTGCATACCCCCTGCTTTTGGTGCATGTACACCCTGAGATACACATGCCACCACGAGTTGAGAAACTAGACACACATGAAATATCAGCAACTTGTTGACAAATGTAATTTGTATTATCTACAGGTATTTTCTAAAACATTAAAAACTACTAAGAAAAAGGTGAATTGTTAGTGTCAGACTCACCAAGGATTGCTTTGGTGTTCCAGGTGAGCTTACACTTGAATGGCCATTTGAGAGGTCCTCTGTTATTTATAGGTGGATAGGGATTTGGAATGGTACACAGATACCATTTTTTGGTTTTGTTCTACATGTATGGCTGATGAATACTATAGTCATTGTTGCCAACCAAGAGCAGTAAGCTCCGTTTTTGCCTAGTGGTTTGTCTTCCCACCATAGAGGCTGAATGTGGCTTTGTGAGTGTCTTAGCATTCACCCTATGTGCAAACTGTATCTACAGAATTTGTTCTAGAAGGTTCTCTCTCTGTTCTTCACCAGTCCACTCTGCACCTCATCTACTTTCATTCTACGAGAGCAGTGGCTACATCTCTGGTCTTTCTAGACTTCCACAGAGCAAATTAAAAATGGAACTGTTCTGATGTTTTTGCATCCACTGACATTTCTTTTGTCAGCAAAGTTCTATGTGGCAGTCATTCCTGTCATTCCATTTCATTGGAAGCTTCAGGCAGAGCTTTTCTTGGGCTTGGGAAAGGCTTAGTTTGGAGCCGAAATCTTGCATGTGTGTCTAGAAATTGAATAACCTGCTTTTAAGGGGGTTTATGTGCCCGGTCTTTCTATCAATATTAATATGGAGTGTGAGTCCTCCTAACTGGCACCTGAGGCCTTTTTCGCGTGTGTCTTTTCTTCTTTTACGACTTTCCTTATATAGTTTGTATCAGTGCTGCTTGGGTATACTTTATTACACAAGTAAAGGATTCTGGTGGACCTTCACAACACTTAGATAAAAACAGTAAAGATGAGGTATCTTTCTGCAACTGGTTCTACCTCTCCGGTAGAGTATACCATTAGGAATCCTGTGATCCTATAGGTGAAAGTTAATTCATCAGGATAAATGTAATTTCTTCTTTTTCACGTGCTGCAAGACTGTTGTGAAATTTTTATTTATTGTAAAAAGCCTTCATGGTGTGTTTAATAATGTTTCACTGGGGACGAGGCTTAACCGCCAGGCCAAGTAGATGCAGCGTGCTTAAGCTCTTGGCAAATCCTGTCACTTTGGAGGCTTGGGGGACCCACAAACCTCACTGATTTAACTTACATGACTGGCACCCAAGCCTGGTACCTTCCGGGAAGTGTACATGCTTGTTCCAGGTCCAACCGCACTTGTTGCGCCTTAGTGTGGGCTTTTGGTGGGAGAAGCGGGCAATCTCCACATCTGAGACTACACACCGCCCTGTGGACACCAGAGCCCTGTACCCCCGATCCCACCTACTCTCTGGACCGGTGGGGGTTATCCCGGTCCCATCAAGCAAGGTTTTATTTACCTCTGCACTGTCTCCGGGACGAATCCTGTGGCACCAGTTTCCTCAGGCCTTTTGAAAATGGCTGTTGGCAGCATAAAGCAGGACACAAAGAAGCCAACAAGCACATGGGAATCAGCCTTTCAGATGGTGTTTGACGCCATTTGCCAGCGATTTTTCAGCAAATTGCAGACACAAAGGGAGCCAAGTACACCGCCTGCTCCCAAGACGCAGCTCAAAGGCAGAGCTTTGCCGAGGAGACTCCCTCCCAGGCGGAGACCGAATAGGGTTCGAGCACCCTCCCTCAGTTCGTGCACGCTTGGGGACTCCTCACTGCCCAGTGTTCCGGTGCTTCACCATGGCTAAGGGAAGAGGGGCCTGTGGACATTGGGAGAGGGTTTTTGCTATCGCCAGGGGCTGGAAGGAAGTGGCGCAACACGTTTCCTGGGGAGTCTCGTAATATAATTTGCACCAGTTTGGACTCTGCGTGGAGGCAGTGGGCATAGGCTGAGTTGGTGGCCCTCATGGAGAAGCTTTATATGACAGTATGCCCCCTAATAAGATTAGCTACCACATAGCTGCAGACTGTTGTTTTATGTTAATCTGAATTTGCTCTACTTGTATAGCATAGTCAGCGTTTTGTGCCCAGTTAATGAACCTCTTGGTGGATATTTTACTTATAAGTCACTCTTGTGTAGTCAGTGAACCTTTTATGTAAATTGTATGATTACCTTAAAGGATCACTGTAGTGTCAGGAAAACAAGTTCAACACTATATCGACACCCTTCAGCAGTTTAGCTTAATCCAGCGCTTGGCTCCCTCGGCGCTGGTGACCTCTCCCCCGTTGCCGACGTCAGCTCCCGAGTGGAGCGGAATGCGCATGCACGGCAAGAGCCTTGCGTATTCAAACAGTCATAGGAAAGCATTTCTCAATGCTAACCTATGGACGTTCTGTACGCTGAATGCGAATTTCACATCCAGCGTCGCAGAAGCGTCCCTAGCGGCTGTCAGGAAGACAGCCACTAGAATTTGGATTAACCATGCAATGTAAACATAGCAGTTTCTCTGAAACTGCTAAGTTTACATCTGAAGGGTTAAAACCTGGGCGACCGGGCACCCAGACCACTTCATTGAGCTGAAGTGGTCTGGGTGACTATAGTATCCCTTTAATCCTCAACTGACTCACACTCAACTGTTTTGTTTTATTGTAAAAGTGCAGTAACTAGTATGACAGTTTAAGCAGCTTCAGTCAATTAGTATTTCACATGTATCAGCTAAAATGTCCAAGACTACTTGTATGTTTACTTATGCACTCCAAAAATAAAAAATGTTAAAAAAAAATAAAAAATGTTTCATTATAGCAAATCTTGACAGAGTATTTCCTGTACTTGGACCTATAGTGACATCTAGGGGTCACTTCCAAGAATTTAAGATGTGTAATAGTTGGATATAATAAAAATGTATGAAAAATGCAAAGGTGTAATATAGATGTAGTTATCCTTTTCTGACACTATGTTTTTCAAACCGTGCTTCTTCCTTTGTCCGGTGACTGCAGGAACCAGGGGGAGAAACTTACAAACAAGTAGAGAAAAACATTGTTACCGTTAGAATGTTCCTTTAAAATGTCCAGTAGTTGGTAATACTGTGCTTGTCTATCACTTATTGTATTGCCACTTTTCAAGGGTGACAGGTTTATTGCATTTAAAGAAACACCATAACCACTTAAATTGATTAAAGTGGTTATGGTGTGTGGAACACATCGCTACTAAACACTTTACGCACCGTTTAGTAGAGATTCTCTGTCTCCAGCTGGCCGTAAATCAGCTTCCAATGACGAAATGGCAGAAGGAGAACTACACTCACGTCATACCGGGAGTAGTGGGCAGTGATTGGTTGACTGCATTAGCTGACTACACTCAGCCAATCACTTCCCCAATCGCTGGTATGAGTTTGTATGGTTCAAGGTGTAGTCATAGCTCCACCTGTGCCATATCATCATTGTAGGCCAGACTTCAGGGTACCGGAGAGCGAGAAATTCTACTACACAATGAGTAAACCGATCAGTAGGGAAGCAAGACCTGGCTACCATGGACAACAATGGTGAGTGTTCTTATTTCACTACTTGTGTTACCAGTTAGCAGAATGTTGCTATACTAATTATTGCTTTACAATAATTTCCGTTAGTGTGTAACTACTGTCTAGATGGTAGGCTAATCTCTGCAGATGACTTTATGTTTTTTTTCCCCATGTTTCCTTCTTATTGGTGAAAGTTTTCATGTTTCACATAACACAATGCATAGCGCACAGAAGTATAGACAATGGTGCATCATACATACATTATCTCTTCTGATCACATCTTAAATCTTATACAGGTTTTTTTAAAAAAAAATTTGGGTTCATATAGCAGCAGGTAGTTATACTGTTTGTGATTGTGACCTTTATGCCCTTTCCCCTGGTGCTTACTGCAGTGAGCTGTGTTTGTTCCTGTTGAAGATTTTTACCAATTTTCCGCCCCTTTCGTTTGAACCCTGAACAAATGAGAACTAAACATAACGTAACATAATATAACGTGATATAACGTGAGTGTGCATAGAGTATGCAATGGTACTCGTACCCCGGATCTCCAAGGTTTGGATCTTCACCCCAAATATAGGCATATCACATGCTTCATATTTGTTTTTATTTGTCCCTATCCTGCCAGCTAGCCCACCTTCGTATAAATTTCTCAGTTGAGCCAGCCAATCCATATGACATAGCTTCATTTTCTTGAGTTTGGGATACTCTATCTATCACCTGTGCTATATCTGGAGTATTTTTACACAGGCTGGCTATGCTTATTTTGGTTGCAATTAGTATATGGATTATTACAACAGACATAGCTGTGGATATGCCCTTGGGTAGCACATGCAGGAGATAAATGGCTGGTTCTAGTGGTAGCTGTTTCCCTACTGTTGCTAAAATTAGGTGTTGGATTTGTTCCCAAAAACATTTGAGTCGTGGGCAATGCCAGAATGTTTGGCCTATAGAACCAGCCTCCACTTCACATTTCCAGCATAGTGGCAATGTTCTCTCATAGATATGTGCCAATCTTTGAGGTGTTAGATACCACCTCATCCATACTTTTTTAGTGGCTTCCATATGGTCCAGACAGTGTGTAGCTGCCCTAGTTAGCCGTAGTGCCCTCTGCAACTGCTTTGGTGCTATCATGCATTGTGCTCCCATTGCTGCATGTAGAGAAATTTTGTGGGTTTAGCCAGTTGCAATATGTTTTTGTAACAAACTGACAATGGCCTAGCTTTTCTCAACTTTCCCATACAGAGCCTCCCGAACTCCTCCAGTTCATGTTCCCTTATTGTCCCGATTTTGTATTGTGTGAGAAGAATGTGTTTTATTATGTGTAAAGGACCTCACTTGGCTGAAGGCCATAGCTTGTGCATAGGTCCGCGAAATGGCGGATACCTGTCTTGTCGATCAATTGTTGCACATTATTTATTCCCTGGTTTCCCCAGTGTGTGAGTGTCAGACTGTTTCTTCCCTAACAGTCTCGGGGCCCATGTATTCCACACCTGCGTAGAGAGACATGTCGCGGAAAATGGGGCTAAGCTTCGGGGTTGCATCTGTGGGGCAATCTAAGAACCTGTGTGGATCTATCAGTGATTGTTTTAGTTTATACCACAGGGGCGACTCTTTTTGCTGCAGGAGTGCCGCTGTTTGTACCAGTAACAATGCAATTTAGTACTTGTGGATTTTGGGCATTCCCAACCCTCCCTCTTGCCATTTGAAGCTTATGGTGTTCAGGGACATCCTTGAGTGCTTTCTCTTTGAAATGTGGGCATTTAGCACTCTTTGAAAGGAGGTTAGGATAGACCTGGGTAGTGCTATAGGTATAGTTCTAAATAAAAACAGAATTTGGGGCAAGAACATCATTTTGACTGAGTTTATACGCCCAACCATGAAGACGTTCCCCCCTCCCAACGCTCCGTGGTCTGCTGTAGCTTGGAGAGTAGCCTGCAGTGAGTAGCTTTCAGCAATTTTTGTTTTGAGGAGAATGATTGTATACCTAGGTATCTTTCATCCACTCAAACAGGTAACGTGTCTGTAAGTGTGTTTTAGTGTCTCTGGGTAAATGTATTGGCAGTGCTTGTGTTTTTAAGCTATTATTCTTGTAATAGGAGATCTCTCCATATTCGTTCAGAAGGTCCAGTAATAGGGGCAACTACCTTTGAGGTTGGGTTAAGAGCATCAGGACATCGTCCGCGAAAAGGGCAATCTTTCGTTCCACTATAGTGCTTGGGAGGCCCGATATCGGAGTATCTTGTTGGATTTTTTTCACCAATAGCTGTAATGCCAGAATGAACATTAGCTGTGATAAGGGGCATCCCTGTCTCGTCCCGTTGGAAATGGAGAATTTCCTGGACAAGAATTCCCTTGCGGAGGGTGCTGAGTATAGGGAGAGGACACTTACCCTAAATTTGGGTGGGAAGTTACATGTTTCCATTACTGAGGCCATGTACTGCCAATGAAGGATGTCAAAGGCTTTTTCAGCGTTTAGGGCCACGACCAGTCTCGTGACTTTCAATCTATCCATCATCTCGAGAAGATCTAGGAATCTTCTCGTGTTATCCCCAGCTTGCCTATTTGGGACGAAATCTGCCTGCTCCGGTTATACTAAAGCAGACAGCAGGGATTTCAACCTCTGTGGCATCACCTTTGCAAATAGTTTTGTATCAGCATTAAGCAGCGATATTGGGCGAAGGTTGTCACAGCTAATCGGGGGGCTTTCCTGTTTTGGGCAGGGCAACTATCATAGCCTCCAGCATTTTTGTTGGTATTTTGTCTGCGTCTAATATGTTGTTAAATAGGGCAGTAAGGTGGGTCACCAAAAGTTCCTCATATTTCGCATGGTATAGCACTGAGAACCCATCCAGGCCTTGCGCCTTGTTTATGGGGGTGTTTTTTTAGTGCATCCCTGACCTCTTTCACTTAAAATGGCCTATCCATCCCTGCAGCCTGGTCAATTTTGATCTGTGGTAACCTAATTGACTGTAAGAACTGATCAGTGGACTGCTGTTCGGGTTGTGTGACTTTGTTATCCTCCTTGAGGTTATAAAGTTTCTCATAAAATTAGGCCAGTTCCTCCACTATCATTAAGGGGTGGCTCATCCTGGAGCCATCAGATGTCTTCAGGTATGGAATTTTAGATTGGGAGAAGGGTTTTTCCAGCTGAGCTGCTAAATGTTTCCCTGCCTTGTTGCCTTTGGAATAGAAGCAGTGCTTCATTCCTTAGATGTCTCTCCATTATCTGCAATTTCAGCTTATCTAGTTCCTTTCTCAAGTTCCGGAGTTTTGTCTCCAGACCCCTATTTGGTGTGAGCTTATGTCGTGCTTCTGCAGCATCGATCTTTGTGATAATTTTTTCCCTACTTGAATTGTATTTACGTTTGTTCCCCGTCCTATCAGCAGACCACAGATCACCTCCTAATGGGCCAACCATGTGCTTGCAATAGAGGTATGCTCGTACGGGTCGTCCAGAAAGTAATAAATTATTGCTTCTATGATCATTACCTCACCCTGTCTATCCTCAAGGAGCGACTCATCAAGACACCATGCCCTCCTGCCCCTCACCGGGAATAAGCATCTGAATTTCGAGCTGACTGGTGCATGGTCCAACCACAAGATTGGAGCTATTTCTACATCTTGTAGGTTGTCTAGAGACGAAGCATCTACCAGGCATATCTATCCTGGAGTACCTTGCATGTACCCATGAGTAAAAAGTATAATCCTTTGCCTTTTTGTAGAGGGAGCGCCAGGTATCATGTAGCCTATGTGTCATACCTTGTGTCCCGCACCGTCCCGGTTCCGCCGTCCATCCTCTCCTGTCAGGCACATTTGGGAGGGTGTCCGAGGACGTGCGCGCGCACACGGTAATCGACAGGGGTGACGTGACATTAACTTTTAAAGTGATAGTAGCCTATTGCTACTATCTATTTATATCCTCCCGCATTTCTGTCCCTGCCTATCAGAATTCACCTTGCCCTATATTAACCTCCTTCTGACATCACTTCCTTGCCCTGTCGTGGTTTATTATATCCTGCGTTCTGAGTAGTTGTCTTTTCTTTGGTTTCTGACTTCGGCTTGCTATTCGGTTATTCTCGTTTCTGGCTCCCTGAACTTGGTTCTGTCTATTCGCTTACCCGTGCCTCTATATCCCTGACCTTGGCGTGTTTGACTATTCTTATGTCTTATTCCTACATTAAGTCCGGCCACTTTAAGGTCCGGTAATACGTCTGTCTGTGCTTGTCTTTATTGTTCTCTGGTTTGCGTGTTGGGGAGTATTAACCTTGACACTATGTTCCAGTAGGAGGGCTCTGGGACACCCTGCATTTGTTGGACCCCCTTCCCCCATTGTGTCCATAGTCGAGTCCAGGACGCAGTTTAAGTCTCCGGCGATGTATACTTGCCCCACTGTGAGTTTTTTAATTTTGTCTAAAGCTTTTTGAAGAAAGCCTACTTGATTGTCATTTGGAGTATATAAATTTGCAAACAGCGTTTGCACCCCATCAATATCAGTACTCTGCCTGCCTTATCCCTGTATTCTCTGTCGCATTTAAAAACCCAGTCTGCATTGAATAATATGTTACGCCTCTTAAGTCTGTTGAGGCCGTTTACATTAAAGGAAAATATGGTAAACTGTTGAGCCATTGTATCATACAGTTATGTGTTATGTTGTTGCAGCAGGCCGCAGGAAGCTTCGGATCTCGCAGAGCACCTGTTGAAAGCGGTAACGTTGATTCAGAAGTTACCAAAGTTCACTCCTATTGATATAGAGAAACCGCAGCTTAAAATTTGCGGAATATCTTGGCTTATAAGCATAAAATCATAGCTAAGTTAAGGAGTTCCCTCAACCTATATTTATTGAATGTTGTCTACATATTCTTGGTTCTACTGTAATATTACAGTTCTCAAAGTGTCCGTAGGTATATACAAAAGAAACAGAAAACAATAGAGGGCATACAAATAGGATAAAACCCATGAATGCACAGCTCTACAAGGATAGGCTTAAGTCACATCAGCCTATCACAGTCCCTGCCGCACCAAACCTACCAGGTCCACTGATGCGCAATGCTGCAGATTGCCACATGACCCTCGTTCAGCTCTACCTCCTTCGCGTGCCACGTTTTGCATCTTAACACTGTTCACCTAGTTTCTCAGTTCTGATGAACAGCTTAACTTCCTCCCGAACATCTCGTTCTGCCTCTGCGTCATATTGGGATTTGCGTTTTACTCATTTCCCACAAGTTCACCTCGTAGCTGTGACATATTGGTCTGCTCTTTGTGGAACATCCACCTGCTTTCTCTCTCCAGCTACGTCAGGTACTTGTAACTGGGAGGTTGATACCAGTGGGTTTCACCTGGATTACTGGCTAGGGTGAGCCCCCTTTTACTTTGTGGTATCGGCTCTACATCTGTTTACATCAGGCAGGGTTAACCCTAGAGGGACCTGGCACCCAGACCAGGGTGACTATAGTGTCCCTTTATGTCTGGAAATTCATGTCTGTCTGGTTTACACTGCGTTACAGGAAAACACTCCAGTATAGAAAGTGCTTGGAAGGCATCTATGCTGAAGTCTCTAAATAATAGGGGCTTTATGAAGCTGATCAGGGCCTGTGCCTGTGCTTGCAGGCTGCTTCTACATGGGTGAGCCCCGGTGTTAAATTGGCAAATTCACGGAGTGTAGGGTATTGCATCCCTGCTGTTCCCTTCCTCCTGACCTTGTGCCTCTACTGCCCAATGTGCCATTTTACTTCCCCACCACTCTTTTACATTGTAATTTCCCGGATTAGGTGAGCCCCAAGGGAGCCATCCCGCTCAGCTAAGAGTCATTGCAAGGGCAGAGTACCAAAGCTACTAAGGGCAAGACACCCCTAAAGCACAATCCGACGCCCTCTCAACCATCGAGTTGGCTCGATCAAGACCCCTCCTCGGACAAGGAACATGACTTGCCGCACTCTTTCTATCCTTGATTAATGACAGGCAAATGGGTAGAACAGGGTTTCAAAAGGGCACAGGACAAACTCCTGGACGCCATTGGGCCGTTAGCCCGGGTGATGCACCTGGCAGATGATGGACAAAGTCTTTGCGGTACGCTACATCAACCGCGTCAAAAGGCTTCAGGTCCCGCTGTCTGACAGAGCTCACAAAACACATCTAAGACCATAGCCTGCCACACAATATCAGGCTGATGGCAAAACACCTACCCTGGAAATCCAATCTTACGACCGATTGGTTCTCGTCATACTGAAGGGACACCAGCGATTAGTATGGCGCACTGAATGCCCAGAGAGGTCTGTTACATCTAGACCTATTTGCCTCCTCTCCCAATCGCCAACCTTCAGCAGGGCTTCCTGACCAGGAGTGCATGGCTGTGGACACATTCCTGGAAAGATTGCCTCCACAAGGCGGTACACATTTTCTATAATAGCATGGGTCCTCCATCAATTATGGTACAGGTAGTGGTGACGCTCCTCACTCCAACCTGGTTGCAGACCCTCTCCTGTTGGATCCAACAGGAGAACCTCACCCATTGCTCCTGGATGGTCAGCTGCTCCTGCTGGCCTAGACTTTCAGGTATTTCTTGCATGCCAGCAGCTTCGGGAATCAACGCTTAGATTTTATTTTCGTCCGTCATTGATTTCCGCATTTTCTATGGTTTCACAGCGTTAAAAATGTAAAATACGAAGCATCCTTTCTGGTTAGCAAATTGAAGATACTAGCTTCAGTGTACTAATAATCTTAAGAGGAGGCAAGTATTTTCCCTCCATGCTATTTACTCCTCCAAACCCTTTGTATGGATTTTCATAAGGTGATGGTTAAAGGATCACTATAGTGTCAGGAATACAAAATCGGTTTTCCTGACACTATAGTACCCTCAGGGAGCCCCTACTGTGGTGCTGTAGGAGTTAAAACCCTTTCAATTACTTACGTTCTTCCTTACCTCTCCTCCCCGCCGTCAGCGGAGCAGAATGCGCGGCACTGCCGTGCATGCAAAGTGTCCATAGGGAAGCATTTTTCAATGCTTTCCTATGGATGCTCTGTGATGGAGGCATTAAATGCCTCCAGTGTTGCAGATGCACCTCTAGTAGCTGCCTGGAAGACAGCCACTAGAGGCTGGCTTAAACCCCAACTGTAAACATGTTTACATCAGGCAGAGTTAAACCTAGAGGGAGCTGGCACCCAGACCAGGGTGACTAGTGTCCTTTTATGTCAGGAAATTCATGTCTGGTTTACACTGCATTACAGTAAAACACTCCAGTAGAGTAAGTGCTTGGAAGGCTATGCTGATGTCTCTAAATAGGGATCGACCAATATTGGATTTTTTTTTTTTTTTTATAGCCGATACCAATAATCTCAACTTTCAGGCCAAAACCCACACACTAGAGCTGCTTGGATAAGTAAAAGCTTCCTGCGCCCCCCTGACCCGCTATGTATTATTGGCAATATCGGTATCTTTATTGGCCGATACTGCCAAAAATACCAAATATCAGTAAAACCAATTCTGTCAATTCCTACTAAAATGTAGACAGTATTAGGAAAATGTCAAATTGGACCAGAGATTGATCCAGTTCATGCCAGGGAACTCCACTTTGGAGTATGTTTGCTTGGTACTAAAAAACTGAAACTCAAGTGCCTAACATTTAGAAAGACCAGTTGTGTCACAAGAAGTAGATTGAGTGGTTAACGATACACTTAGATATGATAAACCTATAGCACCAGTAGTGAGAAATTATTAAAGAGATAAGAGTATACATTTGATTAGAAATATTCTTTTACCCTAATCAAGTCATAAATGGTTATATGATTCCAACATTGCACAAGATATTAAGATTTGATGGAAATCCTTTTCAGTCAAGGACACCTTCTCATTGTTACAATATATCTAATTTTATTAATTTTCTCCCCAAAATTTTATTTAATATGGAGCTCCCAGTGTATACTGAAGATCATAAGATTATTACTCCCATTTAATTTTCTTGAAAAGTTTACATAACTATGAACTGAAATTCCCTCTGGTGTCATTTGCCTAGTACTTTAATCTCACTTCGAACTTAATCCTGTATGAAGGCTGTATGGTAGTATAGTATGTGGTGTATGCAAGTTCAAAAGAATGAAGCTAGTTTGTAAAGCTTTGCTATATATGCATTATGTGGAATGGCAAACTTATTCACTAAATACAATTTGAAGTTTGTACTGTTAAACTAAACATTGAATTTAGAAAGCATATTCTCTTGTACCTGCATAGTCTGCACAGAGTCCTTGTATGGATTACTTTGATTTCTTTATTATTTAGGAGCAGATTGGCTATTGTACAGTACCAGTTGAAAGCAGTTAGTAGCAGACATTTAATGTGCAACTTGTGTGTTGAATGATTGCTCCTAGTCTTAGAAAGTAATTCATGTATAACCTTTTGGATTTCACTACAGTAGTTACTCTTCAGGTTAACTTGACATTTTTCTATCAAAAATTTCTAGAAAAACAAGGTGGCAGTAAGTCATTCTGACCCTGTGATTTGCTCACATTTGTTCAAGTATAGGCTTGAATGTGTTGTACCCCATACAGGTGAACCAATTTAGTGCATTTAGAAAAACCAGTTAATCCAGACTGGAAATTAAAAGAAACAAAAAAATTCAAATATACGTTTCTTTAATTCGCTCTAATTCGTTGTTTATATTCATGCTGTGACTGTGCAGTATTACAACTTATTGTCTGGCACCAACCACCCCATCAGAAGACTGCAATTTCATGAGCTACCCCAGATACAAGATAAGGAGAGCTCACAAAATATAATAAATAGTCTTCCCAAAACTACAGTGAAACATCAAGATGAATGTTAAGGGGATGTCTCACTTTAGTACAATAGGAAGGTAAAGGGTAAGCTTCTTTTAAAAAAAGCTATCACCCAAGAAGTAGAGTCCATTTCCCAAAGCCAGTCATGGTGTTGGGCAGAGAACAGATTGGAAAATCACAGCTTGTCCAAGAAGTTATCCAAAGCTTGAACAGTCTCCTTCAGACCCTTCCTCTTGCGGGTTTCAGCCACAACTTGGCTTGGCCTGGTGGAATTGTCAAATGGATCTCCAGGAAGAATCTGCCAATGATCAAATACACACTGTGGGAAGGCCTGGCCACCAGTGTTTGATCTTAGGTCTGCAGTGAACCCTGAGAACAGAAAAAAGTTTTAAAAAGTCAATTTAGGAAAATCTTAACTATTCTGATAGGAAACTAATATTCATATTAGGTTTGGGAACTATGCACTTACCAAATGATTCGTTGACAGGCAGGTAGGCTTTCACTATAAACATTGGTGTGCCTGCCACTTGAGATTCTTCAAAGACGTGTCCACGCTTTCTGTTCAAGACACCGTAAATGCCACCAACTACCTGCTCAGGGCACTAGAAACCAAAGAGAAAACATCTTGTATAAACTAATCTGACAGTGTCTAGTGGCATTTTGCAAAAGAAAAATCAACTTTGTTATCTTTTGCTTAAATTCAAACTTACCTGAATCTCCACAAGATAGATTGGTTCCATCAGACGGGGCTGGGCTGTCAACACACATGCATATAGGCAACGACGGGCTGTAGGAATGATTTGTCCACCACCTCTATGAATGGCATCAGCATGAAGAGTCACATCATGAACATCAAATCGGACAGCTCTCAAGTTCTCTTCACAGAGCACACCCTGTGGAAATTGACATTTTATTTAGTAACATTTTGGAAGCAAGACAATCCTTCGAACAGAGATAAAGATCACATGCACACTGCCAGGTTTGTAAAATCCCACCAATACACAAAGTTCTTAACTAGAACACACCAGGCACAATAACTACAGCACACTGTTCTTGTGCCAGGAGTGCCCTGATGGACCCCCAGTACTCTAACTTTATAAGATTTTGAATTACACGGGGCAGTTTTACCTCTCGTTTGGAGAAGTTTGCTTTCCAGAGCTGAAATGCAGGGCCTGCTTGTTACCTGAAAGTCAGCTGAGTACTTTCAGTTAAGGCAGCAGCTTTTAAGCTCTCAGGGGAAGAAGACTAACAGACCCCAGATCAGTCAGATAGTTTAGATTACTAACCAAAGCACTCCTGACAGTGCCCTTAATACAGGAAATTGTGATACTCAAGACTGGTACCAATTAACAGGAGACTGCAACAATTGTACGCTTGCCAATTTTAAATAGATGTGATCAGCTGGAGCTATATGAAGCTCTTTAAATTAGAAAGCATGGAAATGTATAAAGTGCAAGTTGGTGCTTGAGGATTTGCTTGTGAAGGGGCATTTAAGGACAATGAAAGTATTCACTCACCTCTTTTGTGGCCCACTGGAAGCCAGCCACAACACTGTCTTTTATTTCGTTAAGATATTGTACTCCTTTTGTCACATCAGTCAGGATGTTTGGTCCAGTACCGTCAGGGCCAAAACACCAGATCTTCCTAGCCTCTGTAACATCCCACTCATATTTCTCTGCCAAGTAACGGGCACGAATCTTCAACTCTTGGCGGGCACTCACGTCTCCTTTGTCAATATCCTCAGCAAGGCCGTCAGGGAATGGACGGGCCTTCATATACAGACGGTTATGCTTGTTAGGAGATTTTGACAGGCACAGCTGGTTTGACTCCTCACTCACAGTTTCACGGTATGAAACAACTGGGTCAGATTTCTAAAAAAATATATAAAAAAAAAAAAATCAGGTCAGGATTGGCTTTTGCATGATCTGCAATTCCCCCTCCCCCCACCCCAAGAAGTGTGACTTCTGTTTCTACACAAGTTAAAACCTCAAGGTTGCTCTAAAAGTTCACCTTAATTGGAATGCAGGCATGGTCCTCCTCTAGATCCTTCAAGCAGATTTCCAAATGCAGCTCTCCAGCTCCAGCAACAATATGTTCTCCAGATTCCTCAATGATGCACTAGAGGAAAGAACAGTGTTAGACTTATTTATATTAAAATGGGGGGTTAAAAAAAAAAAATTAAAATAAAGGACTCAGCCGCACCTGCACCATAGGGTCTGACTTAGCCAGACGCTTGAGACCCTCTACAAGTTTTGGAAGATCAGCAGGGTTCCTTGCTTCTACAGCCACACGCACTACAGGGCTGACACTGAACTTCATAACACGCATGTTATGTGAATGTTCGAAAGTGGTGATTGTCCCAGTTTTCACCAGGAACTGGTCCACACCAACCAAACCCACAATGTTACCACATGGAACGTCTTCAATTGGCTCCACATAACGCCCCATCATCAGGATGGTCCTTTGAAAAGAAAAATAGAAATGTGACTTGCCTGCCAGTTGTACAGCCCAAGAGAACCCACACAAACCTCTATACACACCCACCATAAAACAGAACATTTCATGTGTTTTGACCACATGATCTACCTGTATTTTCTATAGGTTCAAGCAGCTTTCAAAAAAACGTTTTGTTCCCCCACCCTAAAAGTCACTTTACAAAACATCCCCCTGACTGGAAGCAGTGTCCAAGTAGGAATGTTAGGCTGCACATCTTGAATATTTTTGTAATAACTTTAAGGCGGTCAAAACCCATCAAATGCACTTCACTTGTATTTGTGCCCAAAGGATCCTTTTAAGGGCCATAAAATAGTCAGCAAATCTGTTTACTTTATTCCAGATTTGAAGATATCCATTCACAAGAGCATGGGGAAACTGCCTAAAATTTAAGTAGGTCATGCCATTTGAAATCTAAAGATTTAGGATTTTAGCAATTATATAATCTACCTGCTGACACTTAAACACCATTCCTGGAAGTCTAGTTGTAACTCTGCACAGGGACATTTTAAAGCAAAGACATTTTAATAAAACTGAATGGCCACAGCATTTTATAACCCAACTAGAGGGTTTCATGCTTGCAGGGAATTACATACTGTGTTCTACTTTCCCCAATTACTCAATTCTGATCACAGAATGGTCACTGGCAGAGGTGTGCAGGTCAAGAGTTAGACAGGAGGAAGGGGGCATATTATGGCTATTAAAACTAATGTATTTGCCAGTAGTGTGTATATTAACTACAATGTTAGTGTAAATGTTAAATATTTACCTCATTCTTTCAGCAAGGGCTATTTGGTTTTATTCTTTAATAACATAAAATAGAAGCATTCAAAAGGTTTTGTTTTAAAAGTTAAATGGGTAAAAAGGAACACACCTCTGGATAGGCTTCAGGTAAAGGTCCTCTTTCTTTCCTGGAGTATAATTTGGTCCCATAATTCTGACTTTGAGGCCAGTGGAGACAACACCAGAGAAGACTCTTCCAAAAGCATAGAACCTTCCCTTATCAGTGGTGGGCACCATTTTTGAGATGTACATCATTAATGGACCTTTGGGGTCACAGTTTTTTATGCCTAGAGTAGGAGAGAAAAAAATTAAACTTATTGGCACAGAAAAGTGGATTTAGCAGACACTGCAATTTCATGCGCCCTGAATACCCAGTTCAGTGAGAATATTTTTAGGCAGATGTTAGTTTATATTCTGAGCACCTGTCACTGTTTTACAAATATGTAGAAATACAAAAACACAAAACCAAACACCAAAGTGTTAAACAATCCATAACACTACATGAAAGTGAAGCACTCAAAGCTACTTAGCAAGTAGTCATTGACTTTTCATAATCTGAATGATACAGAACTCTGATGTAGAGATTGTCTCCACTACAAACATGTAAATAACCTACTTTCATGTACCAGAACCCCTTTCATCCTGGCTCTGATTTTATACCACACCAAATGAGAGGTAATATATCCCACAGATCCCAGGATATAAGGAACCCAATATCCAATAGAAAACGTTTACAAAAAAAATGCACTTATGCAGCTTGTGAGTATCCCTCTTGGGCAACTCCCATCCATGCATGCCTGCCCAAATGCATAAAGCCTCTTCTAGGTTCCAAAGTATATTTAAGCGCACCACTTTTGTAGGAGGGATTTAAAGTGTGTAAAAGCCACTCATTTTAAAATCCATCCCGCCATTTACTTTTGCAGTAGGTGCAAACATTGTTTCATTAAACCTATTTCACAGACGAAATAGTGATTAAGCAAAATCTATTTTCTTACCATACGTTTTCATTAATTGCATTATTCAATGGGGAACCATGTCTGTTTAGATTAACTATTAGACTGCTTTAAAGACAAAGAGGATCATATTAAAGCAGCACTGTCACCCCTTATATGAAACACTGCTACTGACTTAAAGAGTTTCACTGAAAAGCCAGCCTATTTAAAATATATACCAAGACAAAGTAGTTCTTGCAGTCAAGATTGAGCACTGAGGAACAGATTCCATGTTATGTTGACCTCTGCTGTAGTTGACAGTGTCCTGCTTGCGAGACAACTAGATTGAGATAATGTTTCTAGGTTGTGCCCGTTAGTACAGATGTCAGTTATCCCACAAGTACTCTTAGTAAAGAAAGTAACTATTTTGACTTCTGGTTTGTCCACAGGACCAGCTTCTAGAGCTTTCAGGAAAATAAAAAAACCAAGGGCACAAGTTCTACATAGACCTACCCATAGCTGCTTCATCATCAGGTGGTCCTTCATACAGCAGCTCACAGCGGTACCTCTGAGCAGTCACTGGTGATGGCAGGTGGATGGTTATCATTTGCAGAAGAGCTTCTCCAGCAGGAAGCCAGCGTCTCATAACAGCCTAAAAATTACATGCTAGTTTAGTTTGTGCAGATTCCTATAGCGCAAAACCTTCTATGAATAGTAAACAGTTTACAGGTTCATACAAATGCAGGATAAGATTGTGTATTCACCTTTAACAGTTGTTTTCCCTCTTTATCTTTGTCTTCACTGTCCAACTTTATGTCCAGTTTCTCGATAAGTTTGGCAGTTTCATCTTTCTTAAAGTTCATGATGGCATCAAAAACCTGTCAAACAAAACAGAATACCATATTTAACAGTGTTGAGTCCACGAACTTCACAAAAATGCAACATAAGTTAACTTGTAATGCTACAGAATTTAGTATATACACCACTGGGATGTAGATTGTTTTGAAAGTACCTTGAAGATTGGGTCCAGGATAAGCTGGCAAAATGTTCTAGGCAGCTTCTTTCCATCAGCATTTGATGCAGCCTTGCTAAACTTTCCATTGGCAGGATCAAAATACCTGTTAAACAGCAGTGACATTAATGTTGAACTCTAAAAAAACCGGGTGTAGTTTGCAATATTTCACAAGTGAATAACAGTTTGAAAACACACTTTTCACATGAATTGAAGGATGTTTTATAATTTATATAAAAATGTATAATGCAACGCCCAATGCATTGAGCTGGTAGTAGCCAAGCCATTAAGTCAATAGGAGACCTTCTTGAGCTACCTGTACCAAATATCTTGCATGCAACAAACCCTAAAAGAAAGCATGTCATACAAACATGGCTTACTCAGGTTGAAAAAAGAAAAAATATAGATATGCAATACCAGAAATACTGTTTCTGGAAAAATTTACAGCTCTGTGGCTAATAGTGTCTGTTATATAAATGTGAGAACAGCAAGATAGTTATTTCTTTTAAAAGAATACCTGTCTCCCCAAAGTTTCTTCATCATGTCTTCCACTTTTTTTGCATGTTCATTTGGTGTCAGCTTGCCGTCACCCTTTGCAGCAAACTTTTGCACATACATCTCTGCAAATTGTTTGAGTGTAAATGCCCAGCCATGGAGTCCAGAACCAAAGCCAACAGTACCAAGAACTGGATCAATCTAAATGAGGGAAACAAAACAAGGCAGAGTTAAGCAGTGCTTTAAGCTATTAAAGTAACTGCAGTTGAGCTTTTGGAAACCGTTCATTTTTGAAAGTGTCCTGCTGTGCACAAAAAAAAAAACCCAAACCTATTCTTTCTAAACATTAGGAAGAGGCTTTTAAGGATTAAAGGTACGCCACAAAAACCTTCCACTGTAATTAGCAATTTTAGAACACAAAGAATGCTTTACCTTCTCTTTGAATTTCAATGGAATTTCCATGAAAACAATGCAGTTAAGAATTTCAAGTTTGTAACCCAGTTGAAGCTAGTTAGAACGGCTCAAAATCTGACCTACAGGAATATTTTAAACAAATGCCATTAAGATTGAGGTTTTAGTAAATGACATTTAAGCTACACTGCATTGTAACGCCCAAAGTTAGGCAAAACTTGACGGGAAATTAAGCCTGCGATTCTTTGAAGCAGAGCTACTGCAAGCAGTGAAAGTATAAAAAACACAAAAGCTCTTGAGCCAAGCAGCCCTTTTCTAATATACTACCTGTTCACTGAAGGAAGCTGAATAGCTGTACTAAAAGGCTCAACAAAATAAAATAACATTTGTTTTGAAACCTGCAAAAGGTTTTGATGAAGAGTTGCCATCTTATTTGCCACTACATAACAGCAATGTTAAGGTTAAAGTTTTATTATACTCACCATGATGTTTCCCATGGGTCCTGTCTCTCCCTCACCATAGGTGGATATGATAACGTTTACGTTCTCCACAATACGCTGGAAGGTCTGATATAGCTCTTCTGGCTCTAGTTGCAGTTCCAAAAGTGCACGGTCCATTTTGTTCATCATCAATACAGGGCGGATTCTTTCAGCAATTGCTTGACGGAGTACGGTTTCAGTCTGTACACATACACCTGCACAGGAAAGGAATTAGAGAATCAGCTTCAATGGAGAAGTAGGTAGAATTAAAAGGTCAGTCTAGGCACAAAGGCTATATGCACCATCAGTGCATACCTGGATGCAAAGTAGTGCTCTGTATTACCTTACGCAATCAGACTATTCAGTAACTGAATTTTTGATGTACTGAAGTCTAAATATCAAATTTTTAACTCACCAGACACGCAGTCCACCACAACAAGGGCACCGTCAGTAACACGCAGAGCTGCTGTAACTTCAGAGGAAAAGTCCACGTGGCCAGGAGAGTCAATCAAGTTGATAAGGAAACCAGATCCATCTTTACTTTGCTTAATAAAGGCCAAATCGTTCTCAGCTAGTTCATAGAAGAGGGAAATTGCTCTGGGGAGAAAAATAAACTTGTTACTCACAATAGAATGCAATTTTTAAGAGTGCTGAGAAATAGACAAGTTTTAAAGAAGAAGTCTCATATTGACGTATGACTACACTGTACTATTAGACAGTTCAACGCTACAGCATAAAAAAAAAAAAACAAGACACTCCCCTTTATGCTGGATTGCCAAGATTACTTGGACCCAACATCTTGAACAGTTCTTAATAGTACTTTTATAGAGGAAAGGTCAAGGTGCAATGCTTCATTGTTTTGATTGCTCCTTTAGAACGTTTAACATTAAAATCAAAATCTAAGCTTTTTAAATAGTAGCACAGGATTTTGAGGCGCATGCACAGTAGCATCCCACAGCTCTACAGGAAGGCATTGATTGGCTGACTTCAGCCATGGAGGGAGGGCCAGCAACAGCAATTGAAGAAAGCCAACACTTTATCAAAAGATTCTTTATTTAATTTGTGCATAGGTTAGATATACAAGGATGCACTGCCACAAAAGCTGGTGCATGCACAACATAAAATAGAGTATAGTAGTTATGACATGAGGAACAATGCACATTTTACAATGTTGAAAAAAGGTAAGGTTACCAGAAAAGCCTTTAGGTCTCAGTGGTTAGAAGCATTATACTTGGCTAGTACTATAACTAAAGTTTAATATGCTTTGTGAATATATTTTGAACACCTTTTTAATGAGATCTAATGAGTGCCAGGGATCTAGTTATTTTAACACTAGAGTGTCAGTAATAGAGGTTTGTGTTCTATTAGAACATGTATGTAGAATTTATAACTAAGTTACTTCTATAATATACTTTACCAACACAATTTGGAAATATCTTTCCATCTGTTATTTCCATCTACATGTTATTTTTTCAATAAAGTTTAAATATACGACCATGCCAAAGCAACTGCTGACATCCTAGATCAGAAACAACAATGAATACCTTCCAGCAGTTGCAAAACTACCGCTCCCATAGCACTTTGCCAATCTTAAAAATGCTAATGCAAACTTAAAGTCTGTAGATCAGAAACAGCAGTGGGATCTATATTCCTGCCACCTCTGCTTTAGTGGGAGTTGTTAGCCGTTCATTTTTGTTGACATTATGCTACTAACACAGTGTTACAGCCGTTTACAGAGCATTGTGTTATGCAGGAAAAGATACTTACGTAGATTTGATTGTAATACATCTTTCCTGCTCATCTTTACGGGTATCTGTGAAGCGAGTTTCACCGGCACGAGATGATGCGATGATTCCAGCTTTACATACAAGAGAGTCAGTCAGAGTGGACTTGCCATGGTCCACATGGGCAATGACTGACATATTGCGAATGTTCGCCTTCTTGTCCATGATGTTGCGAATCTGGTCTACCGTGAAGTTCACCTGGTTGTAGGAAGAAAAGTAATTATTGCACCTCTTACATCAAGAGTGGTTAAAACAAAAAAAAGCCATTGTACAGTCACACATGTAACCCATAATTTAATACAGTTTTCCACAGCAGGAGCAACCATTTTTATATCCTGAAAGCACTATAATAGACGGCCATATTGAAGTGATCTTTCACCGGTACTTATGCAAGAAGGCAGAGAATAGCAACGTCATACTCTACGCCTCTGCCAACACAATGGTTAACCCTACACAGCTGTTATCAGTTTAGGCACCTTTGGCTGAAAACTAGAGTAGGGCCTCTGCTATAGGAAGGGCTGTGCTAGTAAAGCAGGCAGTGGGCCCTAACAAAGGGCTGCCCATGATCAGGGGCTCAGTAAAGTTATATTGAATTGCATGCATCATGGAGACCCCCCAATTCACTCCACTATATAGAGGGGATGAGCAAGAGGAGGTACAAGGCCAATAGGTTTTAAACTACAACTCCCATGACGCTTTGCCGGCATTAAGTGTCACAGCCACAACAGCTGGAAAGCGATTCTCCAATGCCACGTAGCCACAGACATTGGCCCAAGCGTTATAAAGTGAGGTTGGATAAATATTGAACAAATAGAACCCGGAAGCCAGATAGAACGCTGCCGGGGCCCAGTGGATGACGCACAGACTAGGCCTAGGATTCGCGTAGTTTACTAGGGCCCGGATTTAACACTGATGGCGACCGAAAACTAAAGCCATCTCAAGCCGGGCTGATGGCCGGGACTCCCCCAGACACCAGGATGGTCCCGGCAGGCCGTCTGCGTTTACCATTTTGGCGGATGTCGGTGGATGCTTCTCACGGGACTGGAAAACGACGAGCGGACTGCCTGCCACACAGCAGACAAACAGGCGGAAGAGAACGCTGACGTCAACGGCCCGCAATATATAGTGGAAGAGCCTGGGCGGTCACGTGACCGAGGGGGAGCTGGGCGGGGCGAGCTGCGGGCGCCCGACCGAGCATGCGCAGCACACGGTGGCGTCGCACCAAGCTCTCGCCGGCGACTGCGCATGCGCTAAACGTCAAAAGGGGGTTTATTCACTAAACGTGCATTACAGTGATATGAATCCCAGTGGTTTGATAGAGTTCCATTTATTTTTTCCCATCCATTCGGATTCCATTTCACTTACATTTGGAATTTAGTGAATAACCATGGGATAATAGGTTATTCACTGTGGATAGTAATAATAATATCAGATATTTATGCACAGTCCACATTCCAAATTATCAAAGGACATGAGGGTTTATTAGGGTGCATTTTGGGCCAGAGTAGTAGACTCTAAGATTTGCAATTCTCTTGTGAACTGTTCATAGCTTTCAGTTTAGCGATTGATCTAATATCGTCAAGTGCAACGTCAAGCGTCACGTTGTTATTTTGTATAGAGAATACCATTACACCTGTTCATGGCGTTGACCAATTTCTTGCGAATATGACGGTGAAATTTATTATTATTCACCCCTTAAGGACTGAGCCAAATGTACACGTTTTGATCAAAATAAAACGTAAACAAAACTTGGAATTTCACTATATGTCTGTTCGACCGTAATTCACCTCCTTCATATTAAGTGCACCCACACGAATATATGATTTTATTCAGGAGAAATAGGGCTTTCATTTAACATCAAATATTCAGCTATGAAACATAATTTAATATGAATAAAATGTACAAAACAAATGTGAGAAATTAGGAAATGTTTTAAAAAAATTTTAGTTCAGCATGACATTTTAACTGTGAATGTCATAATGCTGTTTGCTTTTACTGCAATAAAATACACATATTTGTATTCAGCGATGTCTCACGTGTAAAACAGTACACCCTATATACAGGTATTATGGTGTTTTGGGAAGTTACAGGGTCCAATATAGCATGTTACATTTTAGAGTTAATATTTGTTTGTGTGTGAAAAAACTAATTTGAACACCAATTTTGGCCAGTGTTTGTGACTAAGTGGCTACTAAAAAAGACTGGACATACCCCATTTGCAATACCTTGGGTTGTCTACTTTTGCAAATGATCTCAAAGGCAACGTAACCAATCTGGCGAATTTGAATGTGAAAAAACTGAAACACAGGCCTTATATTTGACTCTGTAACTTTTGAAAACACCATAAAACCTGTACATGAGGGGTACTGTTATACTCAGGAAACTACGCTGAACACAAATATTAGTGTTTAAAAACCGTAAAACGTATCACAACAATTATATCATCAGTGTAAGTGCCGTTTCTGTGTAAAAAATAAAAAAAAACTGCATTTTTACTGATGATATCATCATTGTAATATATTTTTGTTTTTTTAAATTCTTTATTTTTGTTGCGCAGAGAATATACAAAATAAGCTTACGTCACCACAACAGCGGAGCAAACAATGCATTTTCAAACATGTTAGCACAGTGACATGGCATTTATATTAAGTGCTCAAATTTCTGTTTTTGTTGTGTAAATCATTCTAGGCATGTCTGTCTAGGAAAAATATCAAATTACGTGAAGCCGTTCTGGAAGCAAAGCTTGACAAAGGTACTAAGAAGAAAAAGGTATAAAAAAGTAACTAATGAAAATGTTTGATACCAAGTTATGTCTATTGTGAGAACATTTAAGTGCTACTGAACACGCTAACTGAACAAGAATTATGAGCAGTAAGTGGCATGAGGCCCATGCACAGCTTTATTTTAAAGGGACATTATAGTCACCTGAACAACTTTAGCTTAATGAAGCAGTTTTGGTGTATAGAACATGCCACTGCAGCCTCACTGCTCAATCCTCTGCCCTTTAGGAGTTAAATCCCTTTGTTTATGAACCCTAGTCACACCTCCCTGCATGTGACTTGCAACACCTTCCATAAACACTTCCTGTAAAGAGAGCACTATTTAGGCTTTCTTTATTGCAAGTTCTGTTTAATTAAGATTTTCTTATCCCCTGCTATGTTAATAGCTTGCTAGACCCTGCAAGAGCCGCCTGTATGTGATTAAAGTTCAATTTAGAGATTGAGATACAATTATTTAAGGTAAATTACATCGGTTTGAAAGTTAAACCAGTTTTTTTTTCATGCAGGCTCTGTCAAACATAGCCAGGGGAGGTGTGGCTAGGGTTGCATAAACAGAAACAAAGTGATTTAACTCCTAAATGACAGTGAATTGAGCAGTGAAATTGCAGGGGAATGATCTATACACTAAAACTGCTTTATTTAGCTAAAGTAATTTAGGTGACTATAGTGTATCTTTAATGCATTTATACGATAAATGCGATCAATGAGTAGTTAGTATAAGCGAGTCAAAGCACCACGCATAGTCTAAGACTAGAATGAGAAGTAAACAGTAACTGTACATCTTTATACTTCACAAAATAATAGGTAAGGGAAAACATAATAAAAATGCGAACAGTGCACATAGGTAGGAGCTAACTGTATGACAACTAGCTGTGGGCTCTGGATGATTAGTCTAGTTTCAGCTGATATCCTGTTTCGTCAGTTCTGGGTGACAGCCTGGGTGGTCTGTGAAGCAGGAATTGAGTGTGGGGTTCCCCCGGCCCTAGGTCGGTACCGAAGTCTGCATCATGGACCCTTCGCCTTTAGCGGCTCAGGATCTCTTCCCTGCAGATTGAGCGTGTTCCCGAAGAAATTTGTCCCAAGAGTGTGGGCTGTGCTTGGGCGGGTTAACCCCCAGTGGACTGAAGCCCAGGCAAGTGTTGGTGGGCGGCAGGGTGTCTGCATGGTTGTTGGAGCTTCCTCCGTTTCTTCACTCTCTGCCTCCGTGTCTCCCAGATAGCTGCATGACGTATCGGCTGAGGTCCCAGTCTAGGGGTATGTTTAGTAGAAGCCCGTTGGATCTTGGATTTTGCTGCTTGTTCCCACACTTTTACTGCAGGTGATGTCGCAGTAGTGCCTCCCAAAGCCGACCGTAGCGTTTTAGTTTGTCCTGGATTAGTGGGCAGGGAGCTTTCAGTCGAGCTTGAGCCCTCTGTGCGTGATTGCACTTTGGCCCAGAATTGCGACCAGAATCGCTCGAAGGCCTGCTTAATTGTCCTACGCATGGCATGTCTGGCTCGCAGGTGCGTGCGTACCCGTAGGCCTCATTGCAGTAGCCATCTTGGGGGCTAGGCCTTGGTGGCGGGACAGCCAGATTATCAGAGTTTCTTAGCTGGATTCGGCACTGCTCTCCCTATGGGGGACCGGGATAACCCCCACCGGTCCAGAGGGGGTAACAGTGCAGTCGCTCCAAATGTTGCCGGCATTAGCAGGTCCAGGCCGGGAGATCGGCTGTTTCTCCCTTCCAAGGATCACTGCAGGCTTAGGCCTCGATATATTTCAAGCCACAAGTTGTGAGATAAGGCTCCAGACAGGCATGAGACAGCCCCACCGCATGCAGGGACAGCTGCTTAGTCTCCTGGGTACCTTCTGAGGGTATATTCCCCCGTTGGAGCTAGTTTTGTTAGAGTTTCATGAGGAGCTCATACCCTGCACGTCTCGCTGCCATGCCAGTCAAGCCCCACCCCTCCATTTTCCTGTTTTGAAACACTAATATTTGTGTTCAGCTAAGTCTCCCACTTAAAACAGTACCCCCATGCACAGGTTTTATGGTGTCTTGGAAAGTTACAGGGTTAAATATAGTGCTAGCAAATTAAATTCTCTGGACTTTCTGTCTGGGTTATCAGGCAGGTTCCGCAAATTGTAATTAATAAAATGACTTAGTTATGTAAAAATATTACATAAATATATATGTATAATTAATATATAGATATATTTTTATATATATATATATATATACGTATGTATATATACATATATCTGTATATATATATGTATGTATATTTACATAATTTAATTTTTTTTTTATATATAGGTATATATAGATATATATATATAGTTATATATACATATATATTTATGTATATAGATATATATTATTTCATTTTAAGTGTATTTTGATATGTGTAACGAAATTACACATATATATATTTTGTAAATTATTTATTTTTATTATTGTTTATTTTTTATTTTTTATGTATTTATATATTTATGTTATATTATATATATATAATTATATGTATTTAATTAATATAATTCTACGTGTATTTTGATATTAATATATATATATATATAAAATTATATATATTAATATTAAAATACACTTATGTATGTGTATGAGTATATATATATACTTAGATCATATACATAATATATATATATATATATATATATATATATATGATCTAAGTATATATTATTTTATTTTACACAGTTTTTAACCTTTATTTTACTTTATTACAGACAGCAAGGGGAACTACCTGTCATTCCAGGCACTCCCCTTGCTGATCTGGGAGATTTCTCATGAAAATAGAAAGTGTAAGAAAACCATAAAAAATAAGAATTTTACCTGCAGTTGTGGCTGCATTTGTGATAAAATGGTTAAATGAAGACTGTCAAAATGATCTTAGGCAAAAATACTCTGAAGGTTCCATTTTCTACAAATATATACTTCTCCATACCAGTTCTGGATTCTGAGACTGCTATTAAACTTATAGTCTGGTCAGACCAAATTTTGCTAAGATTTAGCATTAAAAAATATAATTCCCTCTTTGCAATATTTGTCCAATAACATCCAAAAGTTAACTGAAATCCTAGGCAAATTAGGCGTTTTAACATTCAGGACTATTATAAGTGAATACATTTTGAGTTATATTGCTTTAATTGAACTAGTTGTATAGAAGCTATTTGAAGAAAAACTGTGAAAAAAATTATATTTTGATTTTCTCCCATTTTAAAATATTTAACTCATACATAATGTTGTGCTATGTATAAATATTAACTACACATCTAGTGACAGTCTTCCTGACAGAGCCAAGTCCATCTCAGTTCTTCAATTAAATGCTGGAGGAGCGAAGCATTTTGCCGCACATGCGTACCTCGTCCCCAATGCTTCCCTATGAGAAACATTGGATTGGGCGAGATCACAGAAGACATCAGCAGGCATGCTGATAAAGACAGAGGTGTAACGGACGGCTGCAGCAGAAGTGTCTGGTCGCTGGAAAGAAGGTGAGTAAACTAACTTTTTAGCAGCAAGAGGAGTGGACGGAGGTCACAACAATAGAAATTGAACTTAGAGTTCCTAAAAAAAGTGCAAAATACAGAAAATATCCATCCACGACACCGTGTATTTGTTGTTAGTATGTTGTGGCGAGTCTACTATTACCTCCTCTATGTTTTGCCAGACCCTCTGAGTGTTCTTTTGATTTGACACTTTGGATTTTTACCTTTTGCCTATCTAAGAATGAACTTAGCATTGTGCAGGTCATCTCTAAATGTGAGTAGTCTCCTGCATACCAAGCCCCTTCACCTCAAAATCTGAAACCTGTTTTTAAAGTTATAATTTAATTAGTCCTTTTATTTTCCAAAGGCATGTAAAGTACAGAAAGTACCTGCAAAAATGTTTTAGTGCCATCAGGTCTCGAGCCATGGCAGTCTCTTTTGTTTGCTGGGCAAACATTTAGTGGCACAACACTCACTGATGTAATGTCACAACACTCACTGATGTAATGTCATAAATGCTCAATTTAAGCGCTTTTAGATTCCTATTCCATATCAAGGCTGAACGTCTATGTACGACAACGGCCTCAGTGACATTCTCATTCACATAAATGGTATTAGTTCAGAGAGGAATCCAGACGGTTATCTAACCTGATCACACTACCAGAAATGGCTGTTACAGCCGTGATCTATTATTATTGTTGGCATTTATATAGTGCCAACTTATTTCGCACTTTACAATATATTAAAGGAGAACAATTAATAAAATTAGCCAATTACAAGTTGTTTAGAGATTTATAGGTAAGGGTTAGTATATTGCATTGACTCCTATAGGGTACAGAAGGCCAATGTAAGGATTGACAGAGGGGAGAGGTGTGAGAGGAGCAACAGGAGAGAGAGAAATTATTTAGGAGAGAATTACAGTTATCAATGCAAGACATTTCTAGAGTGTTAACAAGCTTCTTAGCAGCATCTTCTGTAATTAGGTTCCCAGGAACTGGCTTAGATATGGCAGCTGCTAGAGGCTAATTTTGCTACCTTCTCTAACCTATGAGGATACAACAACCTGGCTCAGCATAGGGTAGGAATCCCAGGTCAGCCGCACTCACGTCAACCTCCCTACAACATCTCAAGCCTTGGACAGTCCATTGGCTCCTCCAGTAGTTCTAAAGCCGAAGCGGAACAGTACCACCCGCTTCTGCGTCAACTACTGGAGGTTGAATGAGAAGATGGTATTCAATGCCTATCCCATGCCCCGTTTAAACAAGCTGTTAGATCACATGGCCAGGCTTACTACCATAGACGTAAATGCTATTGGAAGATTCCTCTGGCCGAGAAAGCCACCTCTAACTCAGCCCTTATCACCCCATTTGGCCTGTACCAATTAAGGGTCATGCCTTACAGCTCCTCGATGGCCACCAGGATTATGCCTGCACATACTTGGACAACATTGCCATCTTTACCTACACTTGGGTATTTATGGGCTGTGCTTGATAGGATCAGGGATGCTGGCCTGACACTGAAGACAAATAAATGCCACATCAGGTTGGCATCAGTATTTAGGACACCGGGTGGGTTAGGGGAAATAGTTGTTGGAGCTAACTAAGGTAGAGACAGAAGCAAATTGGTCCACTCCCCATACTAAGACTGGTCCACTCCCTATACTAAGACCCAATATATGGCCTTCCTGAGTGTGAACGGCTACAACAGAAAATTTGTTCCTAAATATTGTTCTATAGCTAAGCCCTTCACTAACCTGACAAGAAAGAACGTCCCCAGACAAGTGGCATAGTCTCCAGAGTGTGAGCAGGTGTTTAAACTGTTAAAAGCAGCACTTGTAAATGCACCAGCATTGCCACCTTCTGATCCATTTAAAGGACCACTATAGGCACCCAGACCACTTCAGCTTAATGAAGTGGTATGGGTGCCAGGTCCATATAGGTTTAACCCTTTTTGCTGTAAACATAGCAGTTGTTTTCCTGGCACTATAGTGGTCCTTTAAATACTTTCTTAACCATACAGATGCTTCCATACTTGGATTGGGAGCCGTGCCCCAGAAAGTAAGCTACGCCACCATCAAAAAAGAATTCCTCAGGGGCGGGGCTTAACCGCGGACCAGAGCGGACGCCATTACTCACGGCTCCGGAGATAAACTGCCTAATCCACCCAAAATCAGGGGCATCTGTGCCCATCCGACTGCCACAACAGGTAGACTCAACCCGGCACGACGCACGGAGCCGGTACATGCCTTTTTTTCTGCAACCCGGGCTGAAACGGCGGAAAAGGAGGCTTGCGGCCTACCACCTCCCCCCAGGCCTCGGCCTCGAGGAGTGGCAGAATCCGTCCCAGATACTGGGCACAAGAGCACAGCCAACTGCAACCCCAACGCCAGTGCTACTACCCGAAATGGGGAGGAGATCGCAAAGACCACCGCTGGGGACACCAGGAGATTCTAGAGACATTGGGGACATGCTCCAGAAACAGGCCCAAAGCAAGATGGCGACACTGGATGCAGGTACAATCAGCAGTACACCTCAGACTCCCACACAGGAGGAGACACAGCCTCAATCTGAGCAACAAGGCAATGAGCAAACAGCACCACCTTACCCTGGCTTCTCCAATCTAGCCACTAAGCAAGACATTAAAGCACTTCTAGCTGACTTTAGGCAGACCTGGGCAGCAGATATTGCAGTGATACAGACAGATCTGCAAATGGTGACTGACAGGGTCCGTACCACAGAAGAAGACATCATAGAGGTGAAGCAAGCTGTATCCCACATGGGAGACTCGCTCCAGGAAGTGAGGAAAGCCCAACAAGCACTCTCCTTACAACTTACTACGTTAGATGATCGCTCCAGGCGCAATAACCTGAAAATCAGGGGGGTACCTGAAACTATTACAATGGAAGAACTGCCCCATTATTTAAGGCGCCTAGTAACCTCACTCCTACCTCTAACACAAGCCAAAAAAGTAACGATCGACAGCATGTACCGCCTACCGAAATCAGCCAGGGCCCCATCTCAGGCTGTCAGCGACATCCTCATCCACTGCACATCCGCACAAGACAAGCGGGCACTCCTGGCAGCACTACGGGACCACACACCCTACCAGTTTGAGGGCTCAGGTCTGTCTTTTTATCAAGACCTATCACGGTCCACCCTACAGTGGAGGCGCACAATGCTCCCAGTAACAAGCCGGCTCAGGAATGCTGGAATAGCATACCGCTGGACGCCACCAAGATCGCTCAGTGTGCTTCACAACGGGACAGCTCACACTATATTCTCGGCAGAGGAAGCTCCAGCCCTATTTGGGAGAATGGGACTCTCCGCACCTCCTGATGACTCAGCCAGCACCCACTCATGGGACCCGACCACCATAGTCCCCTTCACCCCACGACGCCAACAACACGAACCACGGAAGGGAACAGGACTGAATACCTAAACACGGCTCACGCAAACAACCAAGGGCCGCATTATCACTGTTTTTGTACAAGTATTTTGTTACAAGTTTTTATCCCTGTTTGATACACTTACAAATGCTTGCCTCACTATCAGGGTCTTCTTAAGATAGGACACATAGGAGGGGAGTTACAACCCCCAACCCCGCGAGTAAGGGAGCCTACCACTCACCCATCCCCCCCGCATCCCCCATGGTTAGGGGAACACCAAGCCCGAGCCTCACTATCTTCCAAATCCAGTGTAGGCAACAATTGCTCACCGCCTCACTCACGCACTGCTAGATGCCCACTCAGGTACGTATAGGCTCCCAACAATCCTAACACTAAAGCAACACATTATTAACAGGGCGGCTACTCAAAACCCCTACATGCCATAGGGCCCACTCCTCACCACCCAGGGTCTTCACAGCCCCAAAGAACACCAAAGATCCCAATCGGATCTCTCCAGTAGGATCTCCGGCACAAGATCTAGTAGCTACTAAGATGCAAAATGCCCAGCGACACACCTTAACACTAAAGGTACATAGCAAGTACCAGAGATACAGCTCACAGCCCGCGTCAGGTAATACTGCACTAAATAATATTTCTTCCTGATTTACAGCTCCCATAATACAACTCGAGCTCAGACAGCTAGAGGTCCGGCTCAACCAGTTAAATCTATGGTAACACGACTATACTACTGTTTTGTTTTTGTTTTTTTGTTTTTTTTTTTGTTTTTTTTTTGTCCCTATTTAAACTCCATACACATTGTCTTACCCAGTGGTATTCGTAGCCTATAACAACTGTATTTTGGCCCCAACCCAGCGGCATGAAAGCATGTTGTTGCTTTTCGACCCACACACTTATACATGGGGCAACCTTCACCAGCGGCCACGTAGCTTGCAACCTAACATTAAGGCCCATATCTACCCAACAGGCTTCCCATGTTGCGAAATGGGTAAATTCCCTGAACGATAACCCGTTTATATACATTCCCAAGCTAACATATAATCCAGAAGCTGGTTATACTTGTGAAGTATGCTCTTATTATAATACTACTCCCCTTTTTTAATTCTTTTTTTTCAATACCAAAAATGCCAGTGCAAATACCTGTTTTGTACCATTCTTACCTGCTTATCTTCTGCAGAGACCTACATTACCATGTTCTTACCTGTTTAAAATTGTGCAATTCAATCCTATGTCATAATACTGAATGCTTTGATTTGCTTGTTACTGCCGTCGTGGCACTGCAGGCCTGTTTGTAACCATTTTTGCACAACAAAAATAAAGAATATATAAAAAAAAAAAAAAAGAATTCCTGTCTCTGGTATGGGCTTTAAAGAAACTCCAACTGTACTTGTATTGAGAACATTTCTCCTTGCTCATAGATCACAGCCCATTAGTGTGGCTTAACTGGGTGGCATAGGACAATGTCAGGATGTTGCGAAGTAGTTTTGTGTTTCAACCAATGACTTTACCATCCATTACCGCCTGATAAGCAGAACAACAATGCTGATCGGTTATCGCAACAGGCTGAAATAGAAAAGTGACTCCCCCAAGCTGACCCATGAGAAACAGGCTGTGTATGCCGGACTATTTAAGGGTGAGCAATGTGACGGAGTCTGCTTCAATCACGCTTCAACTGGTGCAAGACTGAAAGTCCAATTCCCCTTAAAAAGAGCATAATCACTCTCCATGGCTCTTTCCCTTGTTCCCTCCACCCCCATGCAGTGAAGCATCCATCTCTGTAACTGTTCTACAGGAACGTGGCAGCCACTACTCCTTCAGCGGGATCAGTCATCAATGCGTGGAACTCTAAATTTGACAAGTACGAGGTAACTATCCACTCAGTTCCCAATCTCCCACGAGAGCAGTTATTGATAGGAAGGTCGAGAGCCAGGGGGAGCCCTCTTCCACGGTACCATAAGGACTCCTTTTCTGGAACAGTCCATAGCTAGGTGCAGCCTAAACTCTGTGCCTGACAGGAAAATGACCATTGCCCAGCTAACATTTTCCCATTGATTTCTTGGGCTGGGGACACCAGATTCAAGCACTTTTTGGACATTTTGCTCATGGAAATTAGCTCTGTCAGTGGATGGATAAGATGTCAATATATCAGAAGAGAAAGAAACTGAAGAAAAGAAGGAGAGAAAGGTCCTGATTGCAATACACATTTATCAGCACTATCTGTTGTTATCACACAGCATGCCTCAGGTTTACCATGAACCAACTTAGTCACTTATATTATGGGTTGGGCTGGCTGAAGTATATAGGTCATACAGATAGTGGAATCCAGGGAGGAACAAATGACTCAGAAGATAATAGAACCAACGTCAGCTGTGAGAAAAGTAATTTGATACTCTCCAATCCAGTACTACTGACATGAATTTTAGATATTAGAGTATATGTATTAGCTATTAGCTGAGGCAGCTTAGCCTCTGCTGATAACGAACACAGATAATCTAATATCTTAATGGTTTTTTTGCATTATGAAGAGGTTTAAATTGTCTATAGATCCATGTCTTTTCTTCATATCCTGTTTCTGTCTTGGCTTTCCATCTAGAGTGGACAATGCAGGACGTTTGCTGAATCACATCCTTATTTTTGTACTGGTTTCTCCAATATAAATAAGCCTACGTGGGTATTTTTTTGCCCTGTATGCCATTGATTTAGTGCATCTCTACGAGGAGATGCTGACTGGTAATTGATAATCTTAGCTATGGAGGCTGGCCAGCTGCAGCGAGACCAGAATAGCGTTGGAAAAAAGGTGAGTAAGAACACCATTCCCATGCGTTCAGAGGTGGCTGGTGACCAAAACGCACACACACCCAGACAGACACACATTAACAGACAAACAGGCTCTGACAGACAGACAGACAGACCAACACACCCTGACAGAAACACACACACCCTGACAGACAGACACACACACACACTCCCAGACAGACACACACACACACTGATAGACACGCACACTCTCACACAGTCACAGACAGACACATACACGCTGACACACACGCTGACAGACATACACTCTCTCACACAGTCACAAAGTATTATTTGATACACTCAAATGAAAAGACACACACACAGGAACGGCTAGAGAGGAAAATCAGTCTGGCGGCAGCATTTATTACAGACTATAGCGGGGCAATACGGCTTTTGGGAAGACCAATTAGGAGAGGGTTACAATAATCCATGCGTGAAATTACTAGCGTGCACAAGCTCCTAGGTACTTGGTAGCATCTTGCGTAAGAAAGGGGCATATGCGGGCTATGTTTTTAAGATGGAATCTACAGGATTTGGCAACATACTGGATGTGAGGCTCAAAGGTGAGGCCAGAATCAAGTATGATACAAGGCAGAGCGCTTACAAGGATGGACTTATGCAAATACCACTAACTTGAACGGAGAGCGAAAGAGGAGGATCAGTATTAGGAGGAGGAAAGACAAGGAGCTCAGTTTTAGAGAGATTGAGTTTCAGAAAGCTGAAGTTGTTTTGGTGCCTGGAGTGTCCCTTTAAATTGTATCTCGTGAGTTTTGAGATTAATTTCACCATGTATATACTTGACTTCTATTTTTTTTTTTTGTGTATTACATGTTATTGTATCAGAATTGACTCTTTTGAATCATGTGACATTGTTAATTTATATATACACCTAGATATATATATATATATATATATATATATATATATAAATATATATATATGTGCGATTAGCCTTTGATGACTTTATACATGACTAAGGCAATGGCCAAAACATTGTAATATTGTCTAGTTATACCCTCTTTCCTTGTACCAAATAAAAAGCATTGTCTTTTAATTGCACTGAGCTTTGTGTAGCCTTCTGATTTCTTTGTTCAAGAGCAGGACACAAAGAGATACAGCATCAAAAATCAGAGTACAGAGGAGTTGATCAAACTGGGGGACCTGGGGCCCAATAGGTCGTGTGTCCAAAGGTCCCACAACTGTTAAGCATGGCCCTGATATTCGGGGTGTCAGGGTTTGATTGGGAAGGTCAGGTGACCACAGAAGTAAACCACCATAAGTAGGAATCCAATATGCAAATAAACAACACTACACAACAGTGAAAAAAGAATATGAATATATTGGTTGCAAAAACACAAATAAATAACATAAATGCAAAACAGGGGCCTCCAGGCGCAGGACACAGGGACCAAACCTGGAACAAGCCCAATGAATTGGCATCAGAAGAAAAGATGTAAGCCTAGATGAAATACGGAGAGCATAAATTCAGGATACGGCCAGCTGGGGACATTTTGCACACAAGGGGTTCAACCCGTTTAGGCGATCTTCCCCTTTCCAGATAGACGAGCAGCTACTGCAAGCACCAGTCTCCCGAACTGCAAACACAGGAATCCTCCAACTCCCGAACAGGAAATACACGAACGCTGGAAACAGCCGAACAGGAAAAACCATGCTAACAGCTTACACTCCTGGCAATCGGTCTGAAGCAGCATACAATCCCTTTCCCCCAATAACAAGACGACACTTCGTTTTGAGGGTCAAGCAGAATCTGGTTTACTGGGGCTACCTGCCCGGCTTTTATGCAGGTCTTCCACCTGGTGGACAATCCCCTATGGGACCAGATGGAAGACTGAGACACAGAGGGTAAAAGGACTAATCACAGACTTACACATTTCAACAATCCCACAATGCATCACAATCCCTCCTCTCTGTCCTGGAGATAATTGGGAAGTAATCCAATTATCTCCAAGGACAGAGGCAAAACTCCATTACACAAATTTTCTGTAAAAAGACATAAAATTACATACGGTTACATTTATCACATAAAACATACACCTTCTACATATCCCCAGATAGCTTAGATCTGAGCGCACATTATTACCGAATGGTGCTCAGATCACATACATACAGTTCAATCGCCATGGTGCCAAAGTCTTTCACATTGTCTTTCGGTATACTGATAGGCTCCATGGCATAGCTATCTGGGGTAACAGCGTTCACACGTAAAAATACAGAATGAACAAGCATTCAGTTAAATGCCTGAATGCAATTCAATTAACCGCAGCTTCTGGGAGGTCAATTGAAGGCACACTCCAGTTCCCAGGTAGTTTGTTCGGTAGATTGAATCTACTGAACACCCAGACAGAAAGACATGAACCAGCCTTTCTGCAGGGAAAAAGAACAGTTTTAAACATGGGGCCATAGTCTAAGGGGAGCAGGCGAGCAACCAGGCTCCTCAAGTGGACAGTGGCGAGGTTGGTTCCGCCACATTTCTCCCCTTTACCAACCAGACTAACAGGGTATCTGACCTCCTGTCGGTCAGTGCCCTGGTTAGTCCATCAACCCACCCACAAAACAGAATCCGCAGTATAACCCACCCACAAGAATTGGTTACCTGGGGTAGTGGGTCGCTTGTCCATGTCCAGGGACTCCACCTCGGCTCTGGGGGGTACTAGCACTCCCGATCGGTGGCTTGCTGAGTGGGCAGAGACCAGCGATACTCTGCCCTGTTGCCAGCGCTAACACGGGAGTAGTCTGATTGGAGCCCAGTTGAGGGGACGGCATAGTAGGCTCCTCACTATGGA